TAGTACTACATTTTGCTTTGAAAAGAGGAGTATGAATTTTCTCTAAACTTGTGACATTGTATTCTTGTAGGAGAGCTGTTGGAATTAAGAATAACAACATCTTATGATTTATAATACATTTACAAAGTAAAAGCCTCTGTAATAAAAAGTGATGTAAATAAAAATGGAATTGCTTTTACTTAATACTGATTTACATTATATTTGACCTTTTTTCTTTTTTGTTAATAACTCTTTCATTTAGTGAATACTTAGTTAAAGAATAGCTTTAAGAAATGACCAATGCAGGGCGCCTAGGTGGCTCAGTCGGTTAAGCATCTGCCTTCAGTCAGATTATGATCCCAGGGTCCTGGGATTGAGCCCCATGTTGGGCTCCCTGCTCAGTGGGGAATCTGCCTCTCCCTCTGCCTTTCTCCCCCCACTTGTGCTCTCTCTCTCTCAAATAAATAAATAAAATCTTAAAAAAAAAAAAGGAAATGACCAATGCATTCTATTTTGTGTTTTGGTCCAAGTAGGTGAATAGTCATTTATTTGAAATGATTATCTCTTTAGTCAAGCTGGCTTCTAATGGTACTCTAGGGCATTTATCACAGTCTCATAAAATGGATAGCTTTATCTCTTTGAGGAATTTTAGTCATTCTTTTGTCATTTCAGATTTGTTAGTAATCCGTGAAGAATCATTATGTGTGGACATCTTTGGCAAATTTATATTCATCACATTTTTATTATTTCTAAGGATTTCAAAAACCAACCTTTTAGCTTTTGCTTTGTAACAAATGAAAATCTTTCAAGAGCATAGGGACCTTATGACACATATAAAAAGTAAACAGATAGTTCCCTTCGGATATGTGCATTCCATAGACATCTAATACTTGGTTATAGGTCACTGTACTAGAAAATATACAGGCTCCAAAGGAGATAGAAAATATAGTTCTTGGCCTCTATGAGTAGGGGAAAAAAGACTTCCCTTAGTAAAATACCCAGAAAACTATTCCAAGAAAATTCATTCCTGCATGTATGCAGTGAACAAATATTCAGAAAGTATCAACTATGTGCCCAGCTCTTGTTTTAGGAACTGGGAAATTACCAGTGAGCAAGACAGAAATCCTGGTCTTTACAGAGCATATTCTAATGGAAGAGACAGACAAACAAAAAACAAGTGAAATGGGTAGTATGTTGGGTGGTAACAAGTGCCATGGAGAAATACAAAGCAAGGAAAGAGGATAGGGAATGTTAGGAAATTGCAATTTTATTTTATTATTTATTTTTTTAAAAAAGATATTTATTTATTTGAGAGCAAGCTAGAGAGAGAGACTGTGTGCAAGCACAAGCAGGGGGTAGGGGCAGAGGGAGAAGCAGATTCCCACGGAGCAGGGAGCGGGATGTTGGGCTCAATCCCAGGACCCCGGGATCATGACCTGAGCCAAAGGCAGACACTTAACCGACTGAGCCACCCAGGTGCCCCGGAATTGTAATTTTAAATAGGGTGCCAGCAAAGGCTTAACAGCAGAAGTCACTTGAATGAAGACCTAATGGAAATGAGGGAATTCATCATTAGAATATCTGTGAAAAGAGTATTCTAGGGAAAGGAATAACAAACAGTGGTTAGCTGGGAGCATGTCCAGCATGTTTGAGAGCAACAAGGAAGTAAAATGGGGCTAAAGAGGAATAGGAGAGACTGAAGGAGACTGTTAAAATAATCCAGACAAGCAAGCAATGATGGTGGCTCATAGTATTGTGGTAGGAGTGGACATGGTAAGCAGTCAGGATTTGCTGACAGTTTGGATATGGAATATGAGCGAGGAATCAGGGTTTTTGATCAGCCAAATGGAAAAGAGGATTTCCATGAACTGAGATTGAAAATACTGTGGGAGGAATGGCGTTCAGGGAGAAAGACTGGAGCTATGTTTTGGATATGTTTAAGATACCTGTTAGTCATCTAAGTGGAGCTGTCAAGCAGGCAGTTGGATATGGCGTTTTGTGGCATTTTGAGGAGAGGTTTGGTGGGAGAAATGAGTTTGAAGATAAATGATACGTTGGTGAACTGTGCTGAGAAGTAAGACTAGGAGAAAAATGAATAAAGGAAAGGCTTCAGGAGGTAAGATAGACTTTTGAGCTGGAACTTTGATTAATGGAAAAGAAAGAGAAGAGGATTCTAGTTAGGGAAAATGTCCTGGCATCTTAGAATATCGTCTAGAGATAAATCTGAATGCTTTACTACCTTGTCTTTTTTTTTTTTTACCTTAAAAGTTTTATAGTGTATCATAAAGTATTATGGAACAGTGAGTACACAGGAAACATTTGTTGACACATAAATGATAATAATAGTTTTCAAAGCTTATTTCATTAATCAGTATTTTTAGTCATTGAAATGTCAGGTATTTTTTATTATAGATGTTTTTATTGTGCTAAAAAATACATGACATAAGATTTGCCATTTTAACCATTATTAAGTGTACTGTTTAGTGGTAGTAAGTATGTTCTGAAACTTAATTTTGTGTATAAAGATATTTTCTCTTCTCAAAACATCAACATTGTTGCTTATGAGCAAAAGGAATTTAGAGCCAGTTGGGCTTTACTTCTAAGAGCATTGATTATTCTGTAAGCCTTGGAATTCTAAATGATCATCACTTTTGTGATATGAAAGATTGGGACAAGTAGGAAAAAAAAATTAGTGCCTTACTTCTAAAACAGATCTTTTCTTTCCTTAAAAACTGACTTCCCATTTAAGTGAGTGTCATTTTTAGTTGTTTGGGTATTTGAATGTATCTTTTTTTTTTTTTAGATTTTATTTATTTATATGACAGAGAGAGACAGCGAGAACAGGAACACAAGCAGGGGGAGTGGGAGAGGGAGAAGCAGGCTTCCCGCTGAGCAG